AGAGCAACTTTTGGGCAACTTTTGAAAAATTTTGGGGCAACTTTTGAGAGATATCCGAGCAACTTGTGTAACAGCCTAGCGGTTACGGGCGGTTCAGGTGTCAATGCGTTAAAAATTAAGGTGGCTCGTACTAGTTTTCTCGCGCGAGGAACAGATAACTCTTGCGTCACGCGCGAGAGAAACGTGCGAAAGAAGCGCGAGATTAAAAGACGAAAATTTAAAACAAAGATGGCGGCGCGAGGAATTTTTTCTACTTACGTGAGAAGTTTACCTAAGAGCTTGTATTTGATGTGTTGAGCGGCCACTGTAAATGCAGGAGATAGAAACTAAGATAAAGAAGACGATTTTCGGAGAAGTAAAGGTTGCTTCACTTCACATTTAAAAGAAATATTCAACCGATATGAAATCTTGCGACGGCGAAAAAAGAGGAACTCAAGTGAAGGATAATCTACATGAAGTGGAAGAAGACCTTTTTTCTAGATTTTCTGAAATTCCGCTCCGTAGAATTTTTTAAAAATCTTTGTGCATTTTCCTTTTCAAGTGCCAAAAGCAATCACTGAAAAAAATCATGGGGTCACCGGGTTAGTTTTCGAATTATTTAAAGCACAAGGTGAAAAATATGTCTGAATAAGCCTATGAAAGCGTTTCCATGGAAACTGCTAGTGACGAAATGACACCTATTTTTGGATAACCAATGATTATATAATTCAACCCCGTAAAAGTGTTCAACTGGCCTTGGTCAGTCTTTCTGTCGTATTCTTTCGAAGTTACAAACCATCAAAAAGATGAAAACCGGTACGAGCCACCTTAACTTGATTTCCTTTTACAGCTATCCTCGATTCAAGATAGTAAACCATTTTCGTCGATATCACATAAGCTCAACGCACACTTGGTCACTTTGACATGCAGTAAAAACATAAGTACGACGCATGTGTCACTGTTACATCACAATTTTTTTGTTATATAAACAAATCATTTATTTACAAGGAAATGAAACATAATTAGAATGTCACGAAGTTACCCATCAAAACTTGTGCTTTTTGTCCGCGTCTGGTGTCTTAATGGATCTGCCTTTTGCTTGCGCTGCCTGGGAAAATGAAGCTTCTGTGTTTTAGGTACGAAGAAATCAAGGACTACGACTACAGCAACCCTGGTTTCAGTTCTAAAACTGGCCATTTTACCGCGGTAAGTTGTGGTTGTTCTCAGGGTTTATTTATCGGCCTTCTGTACTATTAGGTGCGAACACGAAGCAGGGTATTGGTTGTGTCAAAATGGTTGTTGGTTGTTTACAGACGCATTTGTAACTGAACTGTGAAAGTAGAGATTTTGAAAGAGACTGTGCTCTGCTAGATTTCACAATGCTTTTCTACATTGATCACTGGGTTCAGTTATGTCGACTGACGATATTTTTCAGTTTCAGGTCCTTTTATCAATGTAATTTGTACATTTGTATGTGTGTATCAACTTTATTTATAAAGGGTTATGACAGCCCGTTAAAAATGATAGAATGCAGTTGTCAATTCAATAATTACACAATTTAAGCGTTTAAAATATACAATCCTGAATCAATTAAATCAAAGTAGGCCTATATACGCACTTCCTTAAATATCACATGCGCATAAAACTATTTACACGTTCACCCCCCTTTTTTTTTAAAGCAAATTACAAAATTTTGTCTGAAATTTATCAACTATGCGTCACCAAATTAATTTTGCAGGTGATTTGGAAAAGCACCACTCATGTGGGAGCGGCTCTGGCTAAATCACACGATGGCACCAAAACTTACGTCGTGGCGCGCTACTCACCACCAGGAAATGTTCTCGGAAAGTTCCAAGAAAACGTGTTACCACAGACCTCATAGGTAAAGTCTACCTTCATGGGCCAATACATTCTTAAACCCGGAACGTTTCCTACATGAAATCAAAATGACATGATTAAAAAATCACATTTCAAGTCGAGGGGAAACTTTCTGTTCAGTGAAAAATATCTGCATATAAACTGCGCTTCTAATTAGCTACTGATACTTTCTTCCTAAAGCTAGACTCTTGATTGATTTCCCAACTTTGGACTAATCAGGTTTAAGTTCGGCTATCGGTTCTTTCTTTTGTAAATATACTTCCGAATTTGTAATTAGTAGTTTGTTTATGTAACTGGAGGTGTTAAAGTTAGCACCTGAGGGGTTATAAAATATAGCGTTCCTTTGATCAACGACTGCTTTATAAAATGGCGCCAGTTTAGTTTATCAAAAGAGTTATCGTCATTTTATGTATTCTCATTATTTGTGCAGGAGAGAGGATTCTAGTCGTTACTTATCGATTGTGTCATGGACAATATATCAAGATAAGGAATTAACCTCTCGTAGGATACAAAATGTAGCTATTAAAAACGATTTCTTGTTTTATTTTTATGAATTTAGCTCCTAGGTTGAGAGAGGTCGAGTGGACTTCAGGGGTACACCTGGTTTGGCTGTTATAGATACATAGCATTGTAACTTTAGTCTTATTGGGGCCAATAAAGAAAACTACTGATAACGTTTGAGACTCCCATGAGTAAGCTTTCAACGACCGGAATTGATCTATTTTTATACTGCAGTTACCATTTAATAAGGAAACAGTCACGGTCACAGTACTGCAATAGAGTGCTTGTTATGCCGGCTGAGATCCAAGGTTTTTGTGAATAGTAAGAATATTCCTTTAAGGACCAGTCACCTCAATCCCCTTTCCCTTCCATTGCGTGGGGGAGGGGTGGAAGTTTTTGGAGGGATTACACGGTTTTCACTTGGTGTAGAGGGGAACCAGTCGTCGCCAATAGTGTATGAAGAGGGGACTATAGAAAACTGACGGCCAACTAACTGCCAATAAGGAATATTACAAAGCCTTGTGGCGAGAGGGGGGGGGGGGGACTTTGACATCTTTGATCATTTTCATTATGATAGTATTCAAATCTCTATGCTTTTGTCTGCCCACCTAGTGGACCCGGACGCCTGCCTGCAAGCCCATAATGCAGAACGAGCACGTCACAGTGGAACTCCACCGCTGAACTGGAATGAAACACTAGCTAAGCATGCTGAAAAATGGGCTAAGTATTTGGCCTCCAATGATAAATTTGAGCACGAATATAACACTGGCGAAGGAGAAAACCTTTACTATTCTTATGGCTCACCCCTAACGACATGTGGAGATGCAGTGACAGCTTGGTAAGTAACTTTCACATCAGAACGAAAACTCCCTACTTAAGGTGGCTCGTACTAGTTTCCTCGCGCGGGGAACAGATAACTCTTGCGTCACGCGCGGGAGAAACGTGCAAAAGAAGCGCGTGATTAAAAGACGAAAATTTAAAACAAAGATGGCGGCGCGAGGAATTTTTTCTACTTACGTGAGAAGTTTACCTAAGAGCTTGTATTTGATGTGTTGAGCGGCCACTGTAAATGCAGGAGATAGAAACTAAGATAAAGAAGACGATTTTCGGAGAAGTAAAGGTTGCTTCACTTCACATTTAAAAGAAATATTCAACCGATATGAAATCTTGCGACGGCGAAAAAAGAAGAACTCAAGTGAAGGATAATCTACCTGAAGTGGAAGAAGACTTTGAAACTTAAAGGAAAATAATATGATATAGCCAGAAGTCGTGTGTAGGATTTTTAAGATGAGCCCGGGAGGCTGTCTTTGACAGCTGTTTAATGATTTTCTTAGCAGTAAACGTCTGTAAACATCAGATCGTAGGCGCGCGCGCGAGCACACGCAATTGTCAGCGGTAGCTATAACAGATCATGAGCAAATGTCGATCTTATAGAATCCAGATTTTTAAATGCGCGAGAACGCGCGTGGAAATTGCTAAACTCACGAAAGCTATTGCATGAAAACAAGTCCGGTGACCCCTTCTTTTTATTGTTCCAATATGATAATAACGTCGAAAGGAATCATCAGAAAAAAAANTCAAACTAGAGATTTTGAAAGAGACTGTGCTTTGCTAGATTTCAAAATGCTTTTCTACACTGATTACTGGCAATGCCATCAGTTATGTCGACTCACGATATTTTTCAGTTTCAGGTCTTTTTGTCCATGAAATTGATATGTATGTATGTATCAACTTTATTTATAAAGGGTTATGACAGCCCGTTAAAAAAGGATAAAATGCGGCCGACAAATTAACAATTACACAATTTAAGCTTTTAAAATATACAATCCTGAATCAATTAAATCAAAGTAGGCCTATATACCCTTTCGCACTTCCTTAAAAACTAGATGCGTAAAAATAAGTGAGGCTCTTTATAAAACTATTTACATGTTCACTCTTTTCTAAAAAGAAAGGGAAATTACAAAATTTTGTCAGAAATTAATCAACTCTGCGCCACTGAAATTAATTTTGCAGGTGATTTGGAAAAGCACCACTCACGTGGGAGCGGCTCTTGCTAAATCAGCCGATGGCACCAAAATTTACGTCGTGGCGCGCTACTCACCACCAGGAAATTTTCGAGGAAAGTTCAAAGAAAACGTGTTACCACAGACCTCGTCATAGGTAAAGTCTACATTCATGGGCCAGTACATTCTTGCACCCGGAACGTTTCCTACATGACATCAAAATGAAATAATTAAAAAATCACATTTCAAGTCGAGGGGAAACTTTCTGTTCAGTGAAAACTATTTGCATATAAACTGCGCTTCTGATTCGCAACTGATGCTTTCTTCCTACAGCTGAACTCTTGATTGATTTCCCAACTTTGGACTAATCAAGTTTAAGTTGGGCTATCGGGTCTCCCTTTTGTAAACATACTTCCGAATTTGTAATTAGTAGTTTGTTTATGGGGGTGTTAAAGTTAGCATTTGAACGCTTACAAATTACAGCGTTCCTTTGATGAACGACGGCTTTATGAAATGACGCCAATTTGGTTTATTAAAAGAGTTATCGTCGTGTTATGTAGTTTCATCATTTGTACAGGAGAGAGGGTTCTAGTCGTTACTTATCGATTGTGTCATAGACGTTATGTTAAGATCAGGAATCAACATTTCGTAGAATACAAAATATAGCTATTAAAAAAGATTTCTTGTCTTATTTTTATGAATTTAGCTTCAAGGTTGAGAGAGGTTGAATGGACGTCAGAGGGTACACCTGGTTTGGCCGTTATAGATACATAGCATTGTAACTTTAGTCTTAACTAGTGCCATTAAAGAAAACTACTGAAAACGTTTGAGACTCTCATACGTAAGCTTTCCACGACCGGAATTTTTTTCTTCCACCCCCCTCCCCTTTGGCGGTCAATAATCACCAGTCTCTTGCGTCCTGATATCCAATTGAATGAAGACCTCTACCTGAGGTCAGAGGTAACCAAACGGTGGTTGTGGTGAAGTGAAAAAAGTAATCATGTAAAGAAATATTACTGAGGAAAACTCATTTTTGACTAAAATATCAAAATATCAGTGGTACTAGGCGTCGTCACATTCTAAACACATGGGAAGCCAATTCACGAAAGGTCATTTGGTTTGGTCAACTGGGTTGATAAAGTGAAAGTTAAATTCGATCCTTTTTCAAATACAGGTATCCAAAATCGGACCGTGGAATCCAATCCGTTTCGAGCCTACTAGTAGTACCATTAAAAAATATAGCGTTCAAACTGACATGAGTTTTGCCAAAGATATTCAAGGTAAAAATTAAAAAAAACTGACACATACACAGTCGCGGAAAAACAGGACTCCACAAAGAATTTTTTTTGGGGGAGGGGTGGAGGAAGTGTATCATTTCTATGCCAGCTCTTCAAACAAGGATTCGTGAGGCTTGGCCAGTCTACGAACTTTGCACCAAGCTGTACTAAAAGTTATCTCTAAAAGCATGCCAATGGCCACTGTTCGTACAGCAGCAACTCTTAATTCGGTTAACTTGCCTTGAGAATTTAGTGCAAAGTATAAATACACCGCCACTATGTCGCTCTCAACATGGGCACAGATCATACAACTTGACGCTTATTAAACTTTCTGATAAAAAGTCACACAACAGTCAAGTTTGTTCCGGTTCACCTGGCAGCCAAAAAAGCTTCATTGTTGGAAAAACCCCAAATAAAGACTCTTTAAGCTGCCCAATTATGGTCTGCTTTCTCACGATACGAATCATCAACAAAGTCAAGCTTTTTTCGATCTTGAAACAGGAGCTCTTTGTATCCACTTTGCGCATTTACATTATGACGATGGGGCTTTTGTTAGTGGGGCGACCGACTATAGGTTTACCCCCGGGTTTCTCCACAAAGCTCAGTCACGTGCAATGGGGAATACCGCAGACATGTAATTATAAAGGCGCAACCTTTTTTCCACGATTTCGAAAATGGCGGATTACCTTGGTCCCAGGGGTTCTCTTTTCTCTAAAAACAAAATAGGATAAATCTGTTCTCCCTAAAAAAATCGGCGCCAAGCGCCGACAACGAGCTGCGAAGCAGCGAGCCGTCGAGAGAACCTCTGGTGGAGACCGTTGAGAACCTCATTTTGGTGCATTCAGTTGATGATCGTCGCGATCTGATTGGCTATTATTTTTCGATACCTGTGATTGGCCAGTGAAAAAAGATGTGGGGGAGGGTGTAGTATTCCGATATCGTGCCGAGGGACCGGACAGTTGGTAGTTTCTGCATTGCCAATATTATACACACGGGAGTGTGGCAAGTATCACACCTCAAGGTCGCATTGCTCTACGAGAATTGTAAACACGCTTTAAAAGAAGACAAATTTCAGTATATTTATCATCAGAACAATGTATTATCGGAAAGTTATTTTGACACTGGAGAATCGTTTTCCAGAGATAGATCAACTCACAAATAAACAAAACGACGCTTTGTTTGCTTTGCTTAATCGTGAAGATGTGTTCGGCATCTTGCCAACTGGTCACGGAAAGTCCATCATTTTCCAGTTGCTCGCTGACTTTTGCCATGTCCTTTCTCTCAGAGGATACGACTATCCTCGCAATGCGATCGTATTGGTAATTTGCCCACTGAAGTCACTCATTGATTCGCATATAAGAGAACTGCATTACCATGGAATTACAGCCACAAGTCTAACCGGAGATGAAATCGACGAATCTGGAATATTGAAGGGCAAATACTCGTATGTATTTGCGAGTCCTGAAGCTATTCTACAAAATGAAAAGCGGCGGAAAATGCTGGAGAGCGACGTGTATAGGGCAAATTTATTTGTAAACTAGTCCGGCTGCCGCACGTACGTTTAGTCACTGCGATTTAAATTTGACAGGCAACATTTTAGTTGTAATTTTTCGATTAAAAACTCAACTCAACTTAGAGAGAAGAGAACCTATGGGACCAGGGTAAAACCAGTTACAAGAGTGTCGACAATATAACAGAAATCATTGAGTTTACTTCGAATGTTCTCACCTCTGTTCGTGCACGACTACATTTTCGATCCCTCGAGTCGAAGAAATAATCAAAATCCAAAGCTGAAAAAGGATCTTCTATATCATTGTTATTTTGCACACAAAGTTTTCTTTTGTTCTTTGGAGCTGCGGGAAAGATACACGCTTTTTTCCTTGCATTCTTTATGTCATGATTATCAACCGGGTAGTCTTTGGTGCACCTCTTCTCGCGCTGTGTGTCAATGCTTTCCCATACAGATTCCTTATAGTCTAGTCGAAGTCTTTCAAGTTCTTGGAGTTGTTCTAGGAGTTTGTAATATTTCAAAACAGTTCTATAGCATTTCTGACATAAAACCTGAGTTAAATCCTTCGTGTCTTGAACGTCTGAAGCAACCACAGTTCGAAAGATTTAGAGAAATTCTTTATTCTTGTCGGAGAAAATATTATACCGTGAACGGCCAGTGATCTTTATGTTTTCTCTACAGCTCTGCAAAAATCGTTCGGTCGATTGCTGAAGCGCTTGATAGGAGTGTAATTAGTTCTATTCATAAATACACCGTGGAAATATAAAGGTCAAAGTTAATTTCTTTGTTGATACACGGTGGAGAATTGTCGCACGTGTAGCAGTATTTTGACAGATATTAATTTCAAAACATTGGCGCTCCCATCCCCTCCAGAGCAGTTTCATATCTAACAACACTTTCACGAAACCCCCGGCCCTAAGTTTTTTTTGTTTGATACTGACGTTTCCTATTGGCTACTGAAAAGTGACAGATTTGATCAGCTGTCAAAACAGCTGAATGCACCAAAGTGAGGTTCTCAACGGTCTCCACCAGAGGTTCTCTCGACTGCTCGCTGCTTCGCAGCTCGTTGTCGGCGCTTGGCGCCGATTTTTTTTAGGGAGAAGAGATTTATCCTATTTTTTTTAGAGAGAAGAGAACCTCTGGGACCAGGGTAATGGCGGATATGTCGAATGTGTTAACAATTTGTGTCATCTTTTCTACGCTCAAACATACAGACCCACACACCGTTCGCGGTGGACCCACTCTAAAAGATGGCGTGTGTAACGAGCGTATATTTCGAACCGGTCGTTCCGCGAACTCAAGATAGCAAAAGAATGAAATGATTTAGCGAAGGTCTCTCTAGAATCAAACCAGAAATAAAATGAGTCATCAGTGAACAGAGAATGTGGACAGAGTGACAGGAGAACATTTGCTGATAAATACAAGGTGCCTCGTGATCAAACTCTAGGAAACTCTCGAATGGTGAAACTCTCGAATGGTCAGCAGTGTAATGGCGGTCGGACGTGTATTTGGCGTCCCCGTACTTTTGCTGAATTTGTTCTGCTTTCTGTCATACCCTGGTCAAAACCGCTCTCTAAGCAACTCGGCTTTCCAGCTGAGAATTTTTGTGTCTCCAAGAGAAAATTTTGCACCGAAATTGCAGCCTTTCCCAACATGTGAGCACGTCCGCCATTTTGTTTCTGCTACACGTGTTGGAAGATATCTTAGCTCGAGGACATACTACTATGCCAACTCCGACACAAGTTTTGAACAAAGTAGTCTCCTTAGAAGCGGCGATGTTCCCCTCAATCCTGGTCCGAGCTCCATTCCTCCAAAGTGCTCTGTTTGTTTGAAGACCGTCGCTTGCAACCACAGCGCCGTGATTTGTGACCAATGTGAAAAATGGTGCCATATCCGATGCGGTAATATCAAGCCTAACGATTACAAAAACTTGCAACGCCTGACAACCTTCGAGTGGTCTTGTCCTCGCTGCCAACAATCCACTGAGATTACTGAAAATATCTCCCGAAATGAATCCCCACCTACAACTCCTACCTCGAATGTAAACGATATCAAGCTCACAGAATCCCAGGAAGATCCTTTTCTCGTGCTTAAACAAACAGTTGGCGATAAGAACCTTAAGATTGGTCATCTCAACATCAATGGCCCTATAAACAAGCTGTGTGAGGTCCAGCACCTCTTGTACGAGATCAAGTTTGATCTTCTTGATATTACTGAGACCCAGCTTAACTCAAGTGTGTCAGACGATTGGATCAGAATTTCTGGATATAAATTCGTGAGGAGGGATCGTGGTTCCTGTGGAGATGGTGTTCTGATATATTTCAAAGAAGATCTTACTGTATACCCTTCTGTTTCTTGGGAAGGACCAAATTTAGAAGCATCATGGCTGAACATCACCATGAGATCCCAATCCTTCCTTGTTGGCTGTGTTTACAGACCACCCGATGACTCCTCCTTTTTCGACTCTTTCAGAGACCTGATTGCTAATATCTGGCTGAAAAAGAAAAAATGTAATCCTTGTTGGCGACTTCAACTCTGATATGTTGCACAAACCTAACAATAGGGAATCCGAGTATGGAAAACGCCTACGAGGGATTCTATGTAGCTGTGGATTAAAAAACATTATCAACAGCCCAACCCGTATTACTGTCAACTCCAAGTCACTTATTGACCTCGTGATCACTAGTCAACCCTCAAAAATCCAAACCTCTGGCTCTATCGACCTGGGTATCTCTGACCACCACCTAATATTCTCAGTCTTCAAAGTTGCAAGAGGTAATGCAAAACCCAAGTTATCCCAACCAGGAATTATAAATCGCTAGACACAAGGCAACTTAGAAGTGACTTCGACCGCGTTCCCTGGCATATAACTAGTTTATTCGACGACATCGATGACAGTGTAGACGCTTGGCAATTTCTATACAATGAAATCCTACATCACCACCTACCCCCACGAGATGCTAAAATAAGAGATAAGTCTCTTCCTTGGATCAACACCTCCATCAGGAAAGAAATGAACAAAAGATACAAGCTCCTTAAAAAGGCGGACCAGCGTTTCCAACAAATCTGTTGACTTTAAATACTTTTAACACTTACTCCGTATTGTTATTAATATTTATTTCTTTCAATTGTCATTATTTACATACCCATTTTCTTTTTATTCACTAATTAGGTATTTATTAATTGATAGTTTAATTGATGCAGGTCCACATCAAGACGTAATGTCTTGCCTATCCCTCAACCTGCTTTATTAAATAAACTATGATGATGATGATGATGATGAGGATGATGATGATGAAACGACCACAGCGATGCCATGTTGGACTTTCATCAGTGAGAATGAACGTAATTGTTATATTTATATGACCTCTATCGTGATTATTAAGCTTACATTTGCTGTGCCTTTCCTCAAACAGGGTATATTATCTGCTGTTATTTTTCTGTTCGTTCCATTGGTTATGTCGCTTTTGTGCGAATATTAAATTCACGTATTTGTTTGGCAGGAATGTTTGTTTGGTACCAAACAACGCGGTGTCAAATGAATATGATGATGTATAATTTGGACGAAGTAGTGCTATGTATACAACAAAAGTGTGACGAATCAGCGTTGTGTGCACAAAAAAGTGAAGTTGCAAAAGAAATAAATGAATAAAAGCTGATAGTTTCTGAAGAAACTGTTTGGGGCTACGTCGGTGGGGGTAACGAAATAATTTGGATATATCAACAATGTTGAAATGAGATACAATGAATATATGAAGTTCATATATTTTGAAATGGTAAATTAGCCACCGTAACGATTACAAAAGCTAATCGTTACGGTGGCCAATTTGCCATTTCAACTTTGTTGATATAAGCAAAAGAAATAAAATATGCAAAAGAATTCAGATCTCGTTATGCGGTGTTTTTTAATCGTTGTGATATTAAGAGTGGTGAGTATCATGTGCGAAGATGATTCGATCGTGAGCACAGCAGAATACCAATAAAAAAATTAGAAAAGCTTTCACGTAAAACTAATAAAATAAAGAAACTGGTGTGCAGGGGAATTCTTAAAAACATTCCTATCTCATCAAAAATGTATAGCTACATCAAATGTAGAATTAGAAAAAGGAGCAGTAATGACAGTACCAAGTTTGTACAAAAGATGAGAAAGAAATGGTATTCTAAACAGTCAACACTAAATCGAAAATTGTCGAGCAGTAGAGACTCTGAGCAAATATCTATTATTGTATAGCTGTAATATAATGAGTTTGATTTCTTTGATTTATAATAAGATAAAAGGGGTACATACCTGGTACAAATTTAAGAGATGGGTAATTAATTGTATTCAACACTGTCATGATGTACAGGACAGGTGTATTTAATGTAGACAATTACTGTCAAAGATTGCTTTGTCTGAGAAAAATTACCAGCTTAAGTATAGTGAAAGCTACACTGGTAATCTACATCATTTTGATTCAATAATTGTGGAATATCAGTACATTATGTCTACAAGAAGGGCTTTTGAATCGGTCTTGTCACAAAATTACTCTTCATTTTTTTTGATAATAGACTGTAAACGGTGTCAGTATCTATTGTAGTGATAATGTGAGTTATAAGATATTTGGTTCTCATGCAAGAGACGAATATGGTAGAAGCCATCCCTCAGTTACATGTGTACTGTTAGAAGTACCATCTATTCAGGACTTAGTACAGTATTTCCGGACTATACACTCCCTCAGTGACAATTATGAACTCAGAGGAGTGCAGATAAGTACATATAAAATAACTGCAGTGAACAGTTTGAGAGAAGAACACAACTGCTCTTGTAAACAGTGCTCTGCTGTAGGGCTTTATACAATGTGTTACTCAGTAGCAAAGTCTTGTAGTTAATAGAACTCCAGAAACCTATGTGGCATAGCTGACCGTGAAAATAAATTATATTGTAACATGGGCATCAACAGGCATCTAAAAAGGGCAGATTTTTACATGAATCTTAATATTTGTGGAGTTGAGATGTCAGCCTAAATTAAAGCTCAAAGCTTTGGGATGTTG